GTTTTGAGGAAAAAATTAAAGTAGTGTCTGAGGAATTACTTGAAATTAAAGAAACAATTCAAACCCAAAATGATGCAACAAGAGAAGATATTATGGAAGCATTTAAGGGACTGGTGGGTCATGTTACATCATTGGAAGAAAGGGTGGATGAAATTGATCAGTTTAATTTGAATGTGGAAGCTAAATTGGGAGAGGCTCAAAACAAGATGGAAAAGGCGGAAGCAGAACTCATAATGACACAATACAGAGCGATGGAATGGGCAGTGAGGGTCAGAGGCTTGAAAGAAAATAACCAGGAAAATCTCAGAGAGATTTTTGCAGAAGCCCTTGCTCAGTTTACTGGAGAGTCTAAAGCAGAGTGTGACTGGCAAATAGACAAAATTTATTGCATTAATTCATGGATTGCCAGACAGAGACAACTACCAAGAGATATTGTGATTTACTTTGTTACAAGGAGAACAAGAAATGGAGTTTTACAAGTCTCTTATAAGAAGAAACTTCAAGTGGCAGGACAGGAGGTTTCAGTAATGAAGGAAATTCCCCCCAAAATGTTGAGATCTCGAAAGGACTATGCATTTTTAATTGATGAACTTAGAAGGCGTCAATTGCAGTACAGATGGGAAGCTCCAGCCGGATTAGTGGTGAATTATTTGGGTGAGAGACATCGTCTCACTTCAGTTTGGAAGGCAAGAGATTTTTACACTACCATACTAAAGGCTGGAAACCCACCATCTCCAGATGTCAAAAGAAGGAAAGCACCAGGAGAGGTCAGAAAGGGGGAAAATGAAATAATGCAGGCACAAGCTCAAGGAGGTGTCTTGACTACTCAACAAGAATCATTGCAACTTTCAGAGGATGTTCAACTTCTGGATCTATTTGAAAAAATGGAAGACCCCAAGGATCAAAGACAAACTCGAGCAGCAACTAAACGTAAAGAACAAGAATTAAAGAAGCAACAAAGTCAGATAATAACCCAAGAAATTGCAACTACAAATATGGAAGGAGGAGTAGACCGAAGAGGAAATTCCAGGAGGACTTCCAGTCGGTACTCCATAAGCTTTCAGGGGCCAAGGATGGCAAATAAATTTTTGACCTGGAATCTTAATGGCCTAAACTCACCACAAAAGAGAAAGAAAATATTTCACTATTTGAAACAGTTTAAAAATGATGTAATCTGCTTGCAAGAAACACATATTAGAACAAGTGATCAGAAATTCCCAATAAATGCTAGATTGGGCAAACACTTTGTTGCATCAGCTCCTGAGAAGAAAAATGGCATAGTTATATACCTAAGAACAGATTTAATGGCTAAATTAATTGAAGCAGATCCACAAGGAAGATATATAATGATTGAACTATTAATAGAAGGGAAGAAAATACTTTTAGTGGGAGTATATGCACCAAATCAACAACAAGAGAAATTTATAAACTTTTGCATAAAAAATTAATACAAATGGATTACAAATCATGCATAATGATGGGTGATTGGAATGGTGTATTGGACACCAAAAAAAGACAAAAAGACTCTTTTGCCAAATGTTCAAACACGGGCTAAATTGCCTAAATCTTTTTTTGACATGATGGATGATATGAAGTTGAGAGATATATGGCATGAATGAAATTTTAAAGAACAGGATTTTACTTTTTTTTCTGATAGGCACCAATCTTTTTCTAGAATTGATTTTATACTAATTACAAATGATTTTCTTTCCCGGGTAAAGAAGACGAAGATATGTCCAAGAACTTTAACAGGCCATAATCCGGTGTGGATGGAACTAGAGTTTGGGGAGGGGTCTAGGAGATCCTGGAGACTGAATGAAAACTTTTTTTGATATGAGGCAAATGTGATAGAATGTAAAAAGTTAATGAAAGAATTTTTTGTTTTAAATATGCATAAGGGTACACCTATGGAAATGGTATGGGATGCAAGTAAAGCATATATGAGAGGAGTTTTAATAAATTTGAACAATTCTTACAGATGTAGACAGGGGAAAAAACGGAGGGAATTGGAAGAGGAAATAAAAAAGAAGGAACAGGCGTTAGTGGATAAACCAGATGACAAGAATATAAAAGAAGCCATTACAATATTGCAAGGACAGTTTAATATGTTGATGTCAGATCAAGTTGCAACGAACTTGCAATATGCTAAACATAATACTTTTTGTAATGCAAATAAACCAGGCAGGTGGTCAGCATATATGCTAAGGAAAAAACAAAAATCTCGTACAATAGAAAAAATAGAGTATAAAGGTAAAGAGGTATATCAACAGAATTTGATTAAGAAAGCATTTTTAGATATTTATACGAGGTTATATGCTGGTGATAATATACAAGGTAATGATATAGAGAGATATTTGCAAAAGGAAAATATTCTTGCAATTACTGATGAACAAAGGGAAAGACTGAATGTATTAATAACCACTGAGGAAATTCTTTTGGCAATTAAACAATTAAAAAGTGGAAAGGCTCCTGGCACAGGTGGTTTGACAGCACTGTATTATAAAAATTTTCAATTAGAAATGGTAGAACCTCTTAAGGAGTTATTTGTTAAAATACAACGGGGAGGAGAAGTGCCACCATCCTGGAGAACAGCTTTTATTTCTCTGATCCCGAAAGAAGATCAAGATCATAGTCAACCCAAAAATTACAGACCCATATCATTGCTTAATACAGATTATAAGATCTTTGCAAAAATTTTGGCAAATAGATTAATGTCAGTTATGCAACAAGTGATTCACAAAGATCAAACTGGATTTATACAAGGGAGACAAATGAAAAGCAATGTAAGACAAATTGTTAATATACTGGAGTATTTGGGGAAGAACAACCAAGTCCCTGCAGTGCTTATGATTTTGGATGCAGAGAAAGCGTTTGATCGATTGAATTGGCAGTTTTTAGTGAAAGTAGCACAAAAGATGCAGTTGGGAGAGCATTTCATACAATCTATTAAGACAATATACCAGAAACAAACAGCACAAATAATAGTTAATGGTAGTCTCACAGAAATGTTTAAAATTGAGAAAGGAACAAGACAGGGATGTCCCTTGTCTCCACTACTGTTTATTTTAACTTTGGAAGTATTGCTGAATAAAATACGGGAGGCGGATAACATACAGGGTATTAAGATCAGGCAACATGATTATAGACTACGAGCATTTGCAGATGATTTGGTTGTAACTTTAACCCAACCAGTAAATTCAGTTACAGGTTTGATGGAGATAATTAGGCAATATGGTCAAGTGTCAGGGTTTAAAATATATATAGGGGAAACAAAGATGATAGTTAAGAATATGAATACAAATCAAAAAGAAGAAATGGAAAGAGTAACAGGATGCGAGATAGTGAAAAAGGTTAAGTACTTAGGAATTTTTATTACAACGTCAAATGGGAAATTATTCAAGTATAATTATGAATTGTTATGGCATAAAATACAGATAGAGATGGATAAATGGAAAAAAAATACAACTGTTTTTGTTAGGAAGAATAGCAGTAGTTAAAATGAATGTTCTGCCCAAGTTTCTATTTCTTTTTCAAATGATAACAAAACTTAAAAAGGATGCAAATCTGGAGGAATGGCAGAGAGGCATTAACAATTTTGTTTGGGCAGGGAAGAGACCGAGAGTTAAACTAAAAATAATGCAGGATACACGTGAAAGAGGAGGTTTGAAATTGCCCAATCTAAAATTGTACTATGAAGCAGCTGTTTTGTCAGCAATTAGTGATTGGATTAATTTAACAGATGAAAGAATACTGAATATTGAAGGGTATGATTTGCTATATGGTTGGCATGCCTACTTAGTCTATGAGAAGAAGGTGGATAGGACTTTTAAAAGTCATATATTAAGGAATGCCCTCCTGCATGTTTGGAAAAAATACCAATATAAATTGAATGGCAAGATACCCATGTGGGTAGTACCCAGACATGCGATAGAAAATATAGAACAAAGACAGGATGTAACTACTTATAAAGAACTTCTGTTTACAGAAAGAAATGTACTACAGTTAAAGCCTTTGAATGTACTAAGAGAGGAAAGGGCAATTCAAACCTGGTTTCAATATGTACAGCTGCAGAATAGATGGAAAAAAGATCAGAAAATTGGTGTTATACAAAGTGAAGAAAATTTGATAAAACAAATTAGGGACCAGAGTAGAATGCATATAAAAAGGTTGTATAATATTTTGATAGAAATAGACTCGGAGACAGAGTTAGTTAAAGATTGTATGATAAAATGGGCACAAAATTTTGAGGAACCAATAATGATGGAAACATGGGAAAGGATCTGGGTAAGAAATGTAAAATTGACACAAGCTCAAAATCCGAGAGAACATTTTTATAAAATGTTTTGTAGATGGCATTTGGATCCTAAAAAGTTAGCTTGTATGTACCCAAACTTACAACCCAAATGTTGGAGCTGTGATTGTGTTGATGCTACCTATTTTCATGTTTGGTGGACTTGTAAAAAAGTTAAAGCATTTTGGATAAAAATATTTTTTAAAAAAGGATAAAGTTTACTCCACAGTTGTTTTTGTGAGGTATCATTACAGATTGTACGGCTATAGAGATTAATCTGATTCTGAACTTAATAACTTTTGGTGGCGCAGTACTGGAAGAAGGAAGATTTACCTACTATTCAAGAATGGACATTAAAAGTAGTAAATTTAGCAGAAACGGTGAAAACTTCAGCATATCTAAAGGACCATTCAAATGGGAAATATATGTTAGAATGGAAAAGATGGATTGATTATATTCAAGGCAAATATCGGACTAAAAAATTTCAAATAGCTTATGAATGATCAAAGAGATTTTATAAAGTACTTAAATTTAGTTTAGTAAAAGGGGAGTTAAAAGTTCAAGAGGGGGATAGGAGACTATTGATAATTAGCTTACGTTAGCTTATGATTGTCAAATGTTATACCCCGTATTTTGCTCTGGGAAGTGGGCGGGAGAGGGAGGGGAAGGGGAGGGTTGGAAGGGGAGAAGGGAGGGGGAAGGGGAAATGTTTGTAAAAACTTTTAAAACATTTCAATAAAAAAAAAAAAAAAAAAACCTCTTACCGGTACTTAATTCAAATGACAGTTTTCCATAATTGCTATCTTAATCTCTTCTTAGGTACATTTTAAATACAGATATTTAATCAGTAGATCAAGAAATGCCTAGTGGTAGTTTTCTACCTAGACAACTACCTATCATTTATTTGATCTGTGGATCAGATAAAAAGTCACTGGGATTACCTGCCATGACTGAATATTTGACATCCTCTTTCCAAGCCCCATTGTTGTTGGTTGTGCTACAGATCCATGCATTGCATGTAATGCGTGTGCCACAGCATAAATGGCATTGTAGATGTTGTAACTTTCTCCTTCCATGCTTGTTTCAAAAATGTAAGAAGGTAAACTTTGTAAATTCTCTCTTCCTGTACATTGTTTCTTCCCCTTTGGAACGATCCTGCCTGGTTTGTGGGTCCTGCAGCCAAACAACTTTTCCCAACATAATAGGAGAAAGATGTCACCTTGTGGCTTCAAAGGGTCTAAAGACAGGAGGAAATGACTGAATTCTGAGACATCCCCAGTGTGGGGCCTTAAATGCAAAGCCCCATGGAAGGGCTTTACTGCTTTCGATACGTCTTGAATACTGACCACACTAAGTTTCCAATGGGAAGTTAAGATCCAAACTTTCCGAAATGATGTCTTTCTCAAATGTTCATAGATACTCATTGTCACCTGTACATTTCTAATGCTATTGGAGTCTCCAAATAGAACAATCACTTCAGCTTTAGTCCAAGTCTCCGAAATGTGCAGTATTTTCAACTTTGGAGTATTAAGAAAATTTGATTTCAACTTTTCAGTGAAGGCCACGCAGATCTCCTTCTCCTGGAGCATTGGCGTCAGAGTTGAGACGAAACGTTCTCCTCTGTCATCTTCAGGGGCTACCAGCCCAACCCAGTTCCATTGGAAATACAGGAGCAGCTGCACTAAAGCCACATACTGAGCAAATTCACTGGGATTAATCCAGAAGAAGGAAGGATAAACTCTTCTCTCTCCCTGAGTGAACTCAAAGCCAACACCTAGCTGGAGAAAGTGAGTTTCTTGATAGAGTAAATTTTAATGGTCACCATTATGTGGATTGTTGCCCAACCTGGCTCACTTTGAGTGACAAGCTTAATTTTCTGGCCTTGTTAGGAAGAAGAATTATATATTAGGAAGAAGAGGTTATGTATTTTGCCTGGTGATGATGTGTCAAAAGCCAAGAGAATGTCAAATTAACACAGAGAATATACTAACTACACTACTTTTATGAAGAATAGATTAGAAAGGAATTCCTCTTGGCAAATTCCACATTTCAATATAGCTCATTATCTATCACTTTTGGCTTCTATAAAAACACACAAAATATAAATATAGGTCCCCGCAAACCCCTTTTCCACCTTTAGCTGCACTGTGTGTTATTTGTCTACCCCATACTCTATCCAATGAGGTGCTTTTACCTGTGGGACCTTGAAGGTGCTGAAGATGGAGGCCATCTGCCTTGAGGATCTGGGGTTGAGATCTCCGATGACAGAGAGCAGAGAATGCTGCTTGTCACATTTGTAACCTGGAATCATTTGGCCTCTTGTGGAGAGAAGGGAGAGGCTGTTTGAGGAAATCTCCATCTGAGTCTGAAAATTGCTATAGATGTGGAAGCCAAGGGTGATGTTGGGGAGGAGAACCAGATCCTTGTTGACCTCTGTGACTGCAAATACCAATGCTACTAACTGCTGGTAGTTCTTGGGTTTGACTCTATAGTGAGAAAATCATCAGGGAAATTTTAAGGAAAGTTTGTGTGTGCTGGTGTCATGTTTAAAAACGTCCTTTGTAGGAGGAATTCCCAAATTCCTTTGGGTTGTGTTGGCTTTCTAGGCAGCTACAGCATACGGCTGGCTCATAATTTAGTGATTGTCCACTAGGACCCCAAGATCCCTCTCATAGTTACTTCTATTGAGCAATGTACCACATATATGGTACCTGTGCATTTTGTTTTTCTTCCCTAAATGTAGAACCTTGCTTTTTTCACTGTTGAATTTCATTTTGTTAGATAGCCCCCGATGTTCACGTCTGTCCAGATCGTTCTGTATCTTGAGCCTATCTTCTGGAGTGTTGGCTATTCCTGCCTGCTTGGTGTCATCTGCAAATTTGATGAGTTCCCCATCTATCCCCTCATCCAAGTCACTGATGAAGATATTGAAGAGAACTGGAAAGATTGAGAATTCTAGCCTATTTTATGAGTTCTTTATTGAGAAAAGCACAAACATCTGAACTACGCTAGGGCATTGCAAACATCACTAGAACAAGTATTTCTGAAAAGAGTCCTTGAACAAACCAAATGATTATTTACCTGTTTCCCCTTTAGTTGAAACTTACAAAATTTTCTCCCGAAATGAAGATGGGTCTTTTTTAAAGGATTGGAAGTTGAATTTATGTACAGTTCCCAGGGGAAAATTCCCACCAATAATGAAATCACCAGGCCTGTAAAAGTCTCTCGTAGTGTGTAAAGTGTTTCTCAACACACATCCAGTTTGCATCTTCTTTGCAGAAGTTGGAGGCAGGAGCCAGAAGAGCAGCAGCAGGAGGAGGAGAGGCAGCCCAGTCATTCTTCCCACCTTTCCTCCTAGATCAGAAATCAAAAGGGTGTTTTGTGTGTGCAGAGGTTGAATTGCAGGGAGCCCTTGAAATCTCAGCAGAGCTTTAGCACAAGAGAGATAGTCTGTGCCACCTGGATGGCCCCCAAAGCAAATTTATATTCAACCATGCTTCCTCTTACCTGTGCATGGGCTGTGACCAAAGAGGATACTAAGGACAGACAAGTCTCACCAAACCCTGAAGTTGCCTCTTCACAACACAAAGCAAGGTGACATGTTCTGCTCCCAACGGGAGAACTCCGAATATATAATTTAAAGCAGGTTTTATGTCGGAAGATCTTCATGGGTAGAAATCCATAGGGGATACATTAGAAATTACCATTCTCCTGATAATTACAAGGAAAAACAATTTTCCTATGTACTGAGCAATACACCAGATAAAGAAAAATGATTTTAGGACTCTTGTTGTTAATCCACAGATCAGATGCAGTTGAGAGTCAAGGTGAAGTTGGGTATTTGAATTATGTGAAACTGAGCAAGGAGTTTGGCCTCTTCCATAGTTTGTTTGGCTAGTATAAGTCTTCATGGGGCATGGTGGCCCTTGACAATCAGTTGTACCCTAGTAAGTCTGGGCAATCATACCAACACTTGGATGGAGTAAGTGGTTTATGAATACGAACATGTCGGGGGATGAAATTAGACACTAACTTCTCCCATAAAACTTAAAAAAGAGAAACTTCCTCACAGAGAGGACAATTAACCAATCAAATAGCTTTTCTTCAGATGTTGTGGGTGCTTCATCACTGGAGGTTTTGAAGAAGAGACTGGAGAGTCACGTGTCTGAAATGGTGAAGGAGCTCATGCTTGAGTGGGGGGGGGCTTGACCAGAAGAACTTTAAGATCCCTTCCACTTCTATTCTGATTTTGATCATCAGCCTTTTTCCCTCTGTTGAATCATTTCTTTCTTTCAGCATCTATCTGCAGACCTTATCATTATTCCCTTCATTTTCCCATCTGTTATAAAGACTGAATTGGTCCAGGCAGTCACTGGGACACAGAGATTGTGCAGCTGTCTGACAAGGGCTTCCTTAAAGCTGTTCGTTCCATTTCTTGCTTTTTGTTCATTCCATTTCCCCATAAATCACAACCATCTTGGTGTTGTGAATATTACCTTCCAAATACTTACCCATAGTGAGGATGTATATCAAATGTATGAACATTTATTGCAAATCATTTGAGTTCTCAGAGACCATACTGTGCACTGTATATAACAGTAAACAGACATTTGCAGGCCCAAATTTTTCATTTTTTTTTTTCATTTTATTTGATTTGTATACCGCCCTACTCCCGAAGGACTCAGGGCCATTAAGGTTCACTCAAAGTAAGCCAGGTTGGGCAACAATCCACATAATGGTGACCATTAAAATTTACTCTATTAATAACCAGCCATTAAGCATGTACTGTATTCTTACCTGTAAATTCATTAAATAAACAAGAGAATATCACACAACCATATCTTTCTTACTATTCACAATGCATTGCATTTAACTTCACCCTTCCTTCCTTCCTTCCTTCCCTCCCTCCCTCCCTCCCTCCCTCCCTCCTTCCTTCCTTCCTTCCTTCCTTCCTTCCTTCCTTCCTTCCTTCCTTCTTTCCTTCCTTCCTTCTTATCATCCATCCATCCATCCACCTTCCTTCCTTGTAATATTTGGAAAAAATATTAAGAAGAGAGCAGGAGCAGGAAAATATCCATCAATATCAATTTCACATGAGCTTATTTATTAATAAAGTATGTTTCTCAATTAACATAATAGAGAATAAAACAATATGGTTCACAATAAGTGCTTGAATTAAAGAAAAAACCCTCTAATAGTCAATTGAAAGAAAAAATCCAGTAGGAAATTCAGCAAAGCCTCAGGAATCAGTGGAAAGGAACAAGCTTAAAAACACTGAGAGTAAAACAAACCCAACATATTATTAAATATGCTTTTGATTAAAATTAATAAAATGGGAAACTATCATTTTGGAATCTAATATCCAGATATAGAATATCAATGTTTATTATCATTGATCTTTGGGACAACTAGCATTAATGAAAAAAGTGGGTGATTGTTGCAGATTAACAGACATTCTGAGATTACTCACATCACTTGATTTCCAATTGTTTAAGGGAGAAGCCCACATCTGATTAAATGAGATCAAATTGAAAAATAACCAAGATCAAAATGAATACTCCCAATCCCTACATAAGTGGGTGTGGAATGAGGCATTTAATGGGTTTTTATGTTCTGGTTTTTAATGCTCTAATCCAGCTGGAGTCACCTGTGTGTCAATTGGAAGTCAATATAAATGTTTCATATTGATAATCAGAGATTATAATCAGAGATTCTTGTGCCTCATTATATTCTCTCTGCAGTTGAGTTTGGGTTTAAATAGGATAATGTAGCATTTGGGGGAAAAGATACAAGCCAAGAGACCAGCCCCAGAGGCCAAGATGGAGAAGATCTCCACAGCCACCATGGACTTCCCTTTGGTGCTCAGGTAGGTGGGGAGGAAGCTGATCCAAACACTGCAAAAGACCAGCATGCTGAAAGTAATAAACTTGGCTTCATTAAAGCTGTCAGGCAATTTCCTAGCCAAAAAGGCCACTGTGAAACTGATGAGGGCCAGGAAAGCCATGTAGGAGAGGACAGCGTAAAACATTAAACCTGAGCCTTCATTACATTCCAAGATGGCCTCTCCAACTAAAGAGTGGAAGTCAAAGTTGGGAAATGGAGGAGAGGTTGCCAGCCAGGTGGCACAAAGAACTGCTTGGACCAGGGGACAGGCTAAGACAATGGAATTGGTCAGAGGTTTTCCTAAGAGTTTCCTTGTCTTGTTCCCTGGCTTGGTAGCCATGAAGGCCAGAACCACCATGACAGTTTTTGCCAACACAGAGGAAACTGCAAAAGAAAAGAGAATGGCAAAGGCAGTTTGTCGGAAGAGACAGGTGAGCTTCCCGGGTCGACCAATGAAGAGAAAGGAGCAGAGGAAGCAGAGCAGGAGGGAGACCAGGAGGACGTAGGTGAGATCTCGGTTGTTGGCCTTGACAATTGGTGTGTTGTGATTTTTACGGAAAATCACCAGAACTGCCAATGTGAGCACAGAGAGAGAAAGAGCGAGAGAAACTAAAATGTATCCTAGGGTGTCTTGATAGGCAAGGAAGTGGATCTTCTTGGCAATGCAGTGGTCCTTGTCATTGTTGGGATATTGGTTTTCTGGGCAGGGGTCACAGTGAGCTGCATCTGAAATCAAAAGTCAGTGTCAATTTCATAGTGAATCAACAAAGGCAAATCATCCGTCCATACTGACAATGCTGGGAATAGGTTAGCCAGAAAAAAACAGATCTGTTCTCTGGCTCAACATCTCTTTTTTAAACTTCAAATCCACTCATTCAAACTTTTTTAATATATAGGAAAGGTAGATAGACCTGCTCTGTCTCTGACAGATCTTTGAAGACAGGTCTGGGAGATCAAGTATTCTGATAGAAGAGGCAGGTCCTTAATAAAAAATAAAGCTTGAATCTCACACCCCATTGTTCACAAAAAGATTAGTGTCTGGTTTTCCTGATGGGATGTAAAAGTAGGAGTAGAAAGCCAAGTAGGGAACTCATGAATTGTGTTCCAAAATCAACTGAAGCTGACCTGATCAAAGCCACCTTGACAGCTTCAATGTTGTCACGCTGGAGCTGAAGGATCGGGAGGGGGGATTTTAGATAGCTGGGATTTTGATCACCAAAACAAAATATTTTCTCTTGGGAGCCAAGGACATTCTCACACCTGGTCAGAGGAAGATGCAGTGATGTCGACAGGCAACCAGACAGCACCTTGATTGGACCATGTGACTGATTGTTTTGAGAAAGCGACAAACTTTTAATTAGGTGAAAACGGCGGGATCCTTCAGAGTCAGTTTTCACCAGATCTGTGCCAATAGGATATATCCAATAAAGCTATTCTTTGAGGAATTTACCTGCCTTGTAATTTTGTTTGATATGTGTGTATTACTTGTGTAAGATCTGGTGGGCAGACAAAGATGGAGGCTTGGCTCCTGAGAACACCAACTTTATTGCTAACACATAACGCTAACAAGAACAAGGCAATTCCGCATAGCGGCAATGAAGACAACTGTTGCCGTCTGACAGCTGCTTAAATAGCGAACTGTCAGACGGTGCGAACCAATACACGAGCAGGAATTTCCCGCTAATTTAGTTGCTCGCGTCTCAACCAATCCGCGTCGGGTGGCAACACAGCCTGTGTGAGTGGAGTCGTAACTGTGAGGACTCAACAACTTGGAACCCTGACACCCTCCTGTATTAAATTTAAATTAAGTTTAGATTCATGAATTGAGAGGGTCTGCTGAAAAGAAATATGAATATATTGAAGCATATAAATCCTACCAAGCTGATGCCAAAATTAACACTTTTCCATTGAATGGTTTCCTTGATCCTGGAAGATTAATCAACATTTGAATGTGCTACCTGTCTGATTAGAAATGGTTCCTTCTGGACAAGGGTCACATTGGTAGCAGCAAACTGGCTCGCCCTCTGGAACGCTTCTCCTCTCTCCTGCCTGGCACCTCTTCATGCCACACCTGGCAAAGGGCACCTTCTAAAAAAGAGAAGAGAGATATTGCAGGTGGCTCAGCATAGATTATTCTTCATTTATTCATTTGTACATTGCTCTTTCCATCTTTAGAATGTCTTCAAAAGAAATGGTTTACCAGTAACCAGGATAAACTCCAGAGGGAGTCAGGCCAATGCAATCCTGACCCACTAATGGATGCTGGAGACTGGAACTGGGACCTCAAAATGTAAAGGAAGGCTTGTGACATGGAGCTACAGCTTTTCTAAAAGAAAGAATTATAAGTCAAGTCTCAAATGTGTTCAACTCAAAAGAATGTTTTTTCATCAAATCCCTGAATTTAATGGGTTTCCCAGTGAAAAGGGTGTTATGAATCTCCTGGAGTGAATGAATCCTTTGCTGAATTTAGAACTTTTCCTTCCAGCTCACCTTTGTGACCCAGATGATTTCATCAGAGTTAATGGTGAAAACTTGTCCCGGGGAAGCCATGGAATTCATTTGCCCAACTTTCATGGGGACAAAAGATTGATTGGGGAAGAAAAGCCAGTTGAGGAGATCATAACGTGTAGAAACAAATCCACTTTCTGAGAAAGAGACTTCCTTTCCAGCACTGTTGTTGAACTTGCTGTTCCTCAGATAGGGGAGAATCTGGGCAAAAAAAGACACCTGGACTAATTGGCTGAACTCTACACAGAGGACATCCTGGTTTCTATCATAATCAGCCTAGGAGATGGGTCTATATCTGAGAAGCTAAATGAATTCCCTTGATGGAGATCTAAGTAATGAGAAGTAACATCAAATATTCAACTTCAATGACAACACATTTTCTTTGTCATTGGACATTACTATCATGGCTTCTTCAATTCCAGTCTTACAAGAATGATAGCTACATACAAACATTTTAATTCCATATTCCAAATTTCATTGTGTAGTTTTGCTCTGTGATACTTGGCAAGCTACATTTTTAGTTTTATTTGGGCCCATAGTTTTGTAAATGACAAATGCAACTAGAGTTTCTCTAGAAATAGAGAAAGTGTAGCTTGCAAAGAAGTAGATCTGACCCAGTGGTGTTCTTATAGAAGGTTTGTCCTGCCCTGGTTTATCACTTCACTGTCTAGAGAGGAAAAATTTAGCGTTTGATGTTGAAAAGTCTGATGAATTTCAGATCAGGAACCCAGTAAAGTTGAGTTCTTCTGCATATGCTGAAGTTGACAGAACCTTAACTCAACAAAGAAGGCAGTACAAGAAATGGCATACTAAAAAAATGGAGTGGACTCACAAATAATTCTAAGACACAATAATCAACATTAATATGAACTGAGTGTCTTTTTACAGATTGGATTCAGGCTACCTACTGAGAGAAAACGAGGAGGTTCTACCATGCTGATGAGGACTTCAACTGACCTGTCGAAGCATCTTCCACAAATGCACTCAGATTAGGACCATGTTGGGTTCTTCTGCACATGCTGAGTTTGATAGAAGCTTAACTCAACAAACAAAGCAGTACAAGAAATGGCACACTCTCAGGCAACCACTGATGTCCTTCCAGGAACTTCAAGGAAGCTCTTTGCTCTTATGAACAATCAGTTTGGTTTAATTCTCTTTTTCCACCATCTATCTCTTTTCAACAAAAACCTCGAGGCTTCTGGTGGCACTGCAGGCGTCGGCGGTAGCTCCCTTCAGAGTGCTAACCCCTGCGATCTCGTTAAGCTGCTAAAGCTTTGAAAATCAGCTGTTCTAGCGGCTCAGAACTTTCCCCTCAGGAGAAGAGGGGAAGGCAAGCAGGCAGGTGTGGGTAGAGCTCCCCAAGACCTCCAGGATTAATCCTGGGGCATAGAAGGTGAGAGCTCCCCAACCACCTGAAAAAGCTCCAGATCCGGGACGTGTCTCTTTTTTAACAGAACAAGGCGCCGCAACCACCCCTGGGAACTAAATGAATTCACATCGATTGGATTGAAAGCAGGCAGAGGAAGACAGGCGGAATCACAACTGCAAATACTAAACTTTAACTCTAATAAACTACCACTTCCTTTGGAGCTTGAGATGGGATCAAACTTAAAAAAGATGGTGCTGAGTTGCTTAAGGGCGTGAAACCGAAAGTTAAAAGAGAAAGTGCTTGTTAATGCTCATTAACACTCGTTAACACTGTCAGTACATCTTCAAAGACTTTTTTGGGGATTTTTGAGAATTGGAAATTAAAGAATACAATATTGATTTATCAATAAGCAATAATAATTATTAAGGACTGAGATTAAGAAGATCTGTTGGTTCTGCTGAGTGGCTGGTGGGAAAGTGCAATTTGGAGATGGCTGCGAAGCAAATAAAAACTGTTGTGACTAAAAGTGCAGGGACTTCTCCAGCTCAAACATCAAAAATGCAGTCTTTGTTAGCCCCACCAGACACACAAACACTGACACTTGAAGTTCTTCAGGGAGCTTTAAAGAAACTGTCTACTGATTTGTCTACTGATTTGGAAGAAAAAATCACACTATGTTTTGAGGAAAAAATTAAAGTAGTGTCTGAGGAATTACTTGAAATTAAAGAAACAATTCAAACCCAAAATGATGCAACAAGAGAAGATATTGTGGAAGCATTTAAGGGACTGGTGGGTCATGTTACATCATTGGAAGAAAGGGTGGATGAAATTGATCAGTTTAATTTGAATGTGGAAGCTAAATTGGGAGAGGCTCAAAACAAGATGGAAAAGGCGGAAGCAGAACTCATAATGACACAATACAGAGCGATGGAATGGGCAGTGAGGGTCAGAGGCTTGAAAGAAAATAACCAGGAAAATCTCAGAGAGATTTTTGCAGAAGTCCTTGCTCAGTTTACTGGAGAGTCTAAAGCAGAGTGTGACTGGCAAATAGACAAAATTTATTGCATTAATTCATGGATTGCCAGACAGAGACAACTACCAAGAGATATTGTGATTTACTTTGTTACAAGGAGAACAAGAAATGGAGTTTTACAAGTCTCTTATAAGAAGAAACTTCAAGTGGCAGGACAGGAGGTTTCAGTAATGAAGGAAATTCCCCCAAAAATGTTGAGATCTCGAAAGGACTATGCATTTTTAATTGATGAACTTAGAAGGCGTCAGTTGCAGTACAGATGGGAAGCTCCAGCCGGATTAGTGGTGAATTATTTGGGTGAGAGACATCGTCTCACTTCAGTTTGGAAGGCAAGAGATTTTTACACTACCATACTAAAGGCTGGAAACCCACCATCTCCAGATGTCAAAAGAAGGAAAGCACCAGGAGAGGTCAGAAAGGGGGAAAATGAAATAATGCAGGCACAAGCTCAAGGAGGTGTCTTGACTACTCAACAAGAATCATTGCAACTTTCAGAGGATGTTCAACTTCTGGATCTATTTGAAAAAATGGAAGACCCCAAGGATCAAAGACAAACTCGAGCAGCAACTAAACGTAAAGAACAAGAATTAAAGAAGCAACAAAGTCAGATAATAATCCAAGAAATTGCAACTACAAATATGGAAGGAGGAGTAGACCGAAGAGGAAATTCCAGGAGGACTTCCAGTCGGTGCTCCATAAACTTTCAGGGGCCAAGGATGGCAAATAAATTTTTGACCTGGAATCTTAATGGCCTAAACTCACCACAAAAGAGAAAGAAAATATTTCACTATTTGAAACAGTTTAAAAATGATGTAATCTGCTTGCAAGAAACACATATTAGAACAAGTGATCAGAAATTCCCAATAAATGCTAGATTGGGCAAACACTTTGTTGCATCAGCTCCTGAGAAGAAAAATGGCATAGTTATATACCTAAGAACAGATTTAATGGCTAAATTAATTGAAGCAGATCCACAAGGAAGATATATAATGATTGAACTATTAATAGAAGGGAAGAAAATACTTTTAGTGGGAGTATATACACCTAATCAACAAGAAGAGAAATTTATAAACTTTTGCATAAAAAAATAATACAAATGGATTACAAATCATGCATAATGATGGGTGATTGGAATGGTGTATTGGACACCAAAAAAAGACAAAAAGACTCTTTTCCCAAATGTTCAAACACGGGCTAAATTGCCTAAATCTTTTTTTGACATGATGGATGATATGAAGTTGAGAGATATATGGCGTGAATGAAATTTTAAAGAACAGGATTTTACTTTTTTTTCTGATAGGCACCAATCTTTTTCTAGAATTGATTTTATACTAATTACAAATGATTTTCTTTCCCGGGTAAAGAAGACGAAGATATGTCCAAGAACTTTAACAGGCCATAATCCGGTGTGGATGGAACTAGAGTTTGGGGAGGGGTCTAGGAGATCCTGGAGACTGAATGAAAACTTTTTTTGATATGAGGCAAATGTGATAGAATGTAAAAAGTTAATGAAAGAATTTTTTGTTTTAAATATGCATAAGGGTACACCTATGGAAATGGTATGGGATGCAAGTAATATAAAAGAAGCCATTACAATATTGCAAGGACAGTTTAATATGTTGATGTCAGATCAAGTTGCAACGAACTTGCAATATGCTAAACATAATACTTTTTGTAATGCAAATAAACCAGGCAGGTGGTCAGCATATATGCTAAGGAAAAAACAAAAATCTCGTACAATAGAAAAAATAGAGTATAAAGGTAAAGAGGTATATCAACAGAATTTGATTAAGAAAGCATTTTTAGATATTTATACGAGGTTATATGCTGGTGATAATATACAAGGTAATGATATAGAGAGATATTTGCAGAAGGAAAATATTCTTGCAATTACTGATGAACAAAGGGAAAGACTGAATGTATTAATAACCACTGAGGAAATTCTTTTGGCAATTAAACAATTAAAAAGTGGAAAGGCTCCTGGCACAGATGGTTTGACAGCACTGTATTATAAAAATTTTCAATTAGAAATGGTAGAACCTCTTAAGGAGTTATTTGTTAAAATACAATGGGGAGGAGAAGTGCCACCATCCTGGAGAACAGCTTTTATTTCTCTGATCCCGAAAGAAGATCAAGATCATAGTCAACCCAAAAATTACAGACCCATATCATTGCTTAATACAGATTATAAGATCTTTGCAAAAATTTTGGCAAATAGATTAATGTCAGTTATGTAACAAGTGATTCACAAAGATCAAACTGGATTTATACAAGGGAGACAAAT